GCATGAGATGTGCCGGGCAGCACCTGTCCTGTCAGCAGGCTGGCATCATGGTGAAAATGGAAAAATTGGTTTAGAATATCCTTAGTTTTGGCACTTGGGTTGAATTGGCTGTCAGTACCCAGGTACTGGCTGTGGGGGGATGTGGGGGCCAGGGCCATTCCAGCCAGTTTGGGCTGGCTCCAGCAGCCCCTCCACAGGGCTCCCCTCGGGGGAAGCATGGCTAGGAAAGGGTGAAATGGTGCTGGCAGTGAGGAGTGAGGGGAAAACTGCCAAGTGTGAGGGGAGAAAGTGTGAGGAGCAGCCCTGCGAGCCCTAAGGGAAGAGAAGGAGGAAGATGAGGAAGAGGAGCTCCTGCTCTGTTCAGTGGGAGGTGTCCCAGTGGCACTGGGGGAAAAAGTTAAGTGTTGCACATTTAAATTGACCAGATCCTACAAGATGCATTTTTGTGTTTGTGCTGTTCAAGTGTTTTAATAAAGCACTACCAAGTGACCCCAAAAGGGGGAAAGTTATAATTAATCAGATAAATTAGAGAATAGATACTCAGAGGGGGGAAAAAAACCCTGAATTTCTTGTACTGGCAAACTCCAAACCCCACAGAGGGAAAAATCTCCTCAAGGGCTGTAGCTGCTGACATGGGTTCTGCTGTGGTTGTATCTCTGTGTGTTCTGTTCAGTCTGGCTTTTCCAGCATGTCTGAAGGAGTCAGATAGAGTCTCATTTTTCTTTGCATTGCACTTGAGGTTATTTAGTGAGGTCTGGAACCAAGAAGTTGGTGATAGCATTTCAGCAACCACCAGTGAGCTTTGGGTCTGCCTCTGTCCCAAGGAGAGACATCAGATGAAATTTAATGTGGCAATGGTGAGTGAAAAAGATAAGCCTCTACAATTGAAAACAACTCTACAATTTTAAGTATATAAAGCACACTGGATATTTTGATAGTTTCATCAATGATTTAGGACTCAGATAATTTTAATGCAAAAACACAAAAAAAGGAAAAATGTGAATGTCTTTGCATTATGTATCTCTTTTCCCTCTAACTTTTTATATCTAATCATGATTAAATCTTCCTTATATATATCTGAAGATAGAAGGTGACAGCTGTAATGGAAAGGACTGATCACATTTTTTTTTCTTGGCAATGTCTGTGGTAATTTTGTAATATGCTTAAGGAAACAGAGAACAAATCCTACCAATAAATCTAGGCTATTTTGTTTTGGATGACTGTCCACCGAGGATCCTCCTAACTGCACTTTGCTTCAGAATATCATTGACATTGGTCACAACCAATCTACTCTTTAATATCCAGGATACAAAGCCCCTTTGACATCTGCCATCTCCATTCCACAGACAAACTCTCACTGGTGCAATATTGGCTGTAATTGAACTTGCAAATTGCTTCACTTTCTGAAATGCTGACTGCTTAATTATGATGGGGAAAGTAGCATTGTACAGCCAGAAGTTCAGATAACTATGTAACTCAGAAACTATCTAATTATATGTGTGAATAATACTTGCTGTGATCTCTGTTAATACCAGCAGTGATACACAGAAGGGCTGCTTTGCAGACCTTGTCCTAGTTCAGTGTGGAAGGAAGCAAAGAAGCAGAATGAACCACAAAATAGAGGGAAGGAAGTGCAGGCCTGGCTTTGCTTCCTTCTATTCTAGAGGTGTTCAAGTTCACCCAAACAGGCTTCAAGAGATTGTGCAGTTCAAATCTCAACCCACAGGTTTTCCATGGGGTATTGTCCAGTCAGTTAGTTTATCCTCAGCTTCAGGTCTCCATCTGAAAAACAAGGACTGCAAGGTCCCTGTTTGCCAGGTACACTCTGAGGATTAAACACAGAGATCACTTTGAAAACCTCAAAAACTGTCTACATAAATCAACCTGACTATCTATATAAGAGAATTGTGTGTATGAAAACTACTGTTTCATTTTAGCCTAGAGGAAGAATGACAGGAAAAAGCTCCTCGTCTGACTGAAAGGACACAAAACGACACAGAGATACTGAAGATGACTCTAGCTGAGCTATCTCAAACATCGGGAGCTGAAGCTCACTATAATGTGACATGGCTCTTTGGCTTCCAGCATAGCAGCTATCCCATTCAGATCTTAGCTACTTTTTCCTGTATGATGTTGCTTGTGTGGTATAAATGCACACACCCTGTCTCTATCCCAGTGAACTTGATGTAGAGTGGATTTTAGGTCAAGCTAACTCCATGATAGCACCTGGTAGTGCTGACATTCATGTTTCTCTGGTAGATTCATGCAACAGAAAGGTTGTTCCTAAATCTTTAGTTTTATGAGAAACCCCAGTGGTGGTTTTTTCCATGATTTTTACTGTCTTATATTTTTTCTTGTGAAAAGGAAAGTATGTAGGCCTCTGCCTGTGGATGATTAGTTTCTCTATAACAAAACAGCTGTGGAGCCTGACAAGATTGCACTCAGATTACAGCCTTAAAATAGTGGATGGACTTGATGTTTTTCCTTCCACCCATCTTACAATGATTGTCGTAAGAATGAATGATAGTTGCGTTGCTCTGTATTGTCACTACATTTCTTGTGATATGAATAGGTGTTGTGGTTTAGGTGTGTGGTGCTGGAACAAGGGGTACCTCCTGCTCCCTCCATCCCCTCCGAATGATGTGAGGTGGTATAGAATAACCCCAGGGTCCTAGTGTGCCCTTCCTGGCTGCTGCAAAAGTTAACCCTGTCCTGGCTGGAACCAGGACATTATCCACCCCTTATTCTATACCATCTACATCATGCCCAGATCCTACACCTTCCCAATACATAGACATATACACACACACACACACACACATATATATGTATATACACACACACAAGCATGGGTATCATTCCCTTAGACAATAGCTGTCCCTCCAAAATGTCTGTTGAGTTCATTTAGTCCATGACTACAATTATCAATGAACCCCCAGAGGTGGTGCCCGAGGTAAGAGCAGGAGGGCAACACTGAATACACAGACCAAATGACTCATTGCACTTGACGTAGCAGCAAAACAATCCTGATCCCCCTCCCTGCTTTGGGAAAGAGCACCATGACAGCACATAGTGCCTATACGGGAGTACATACGGAGTGAGGAACCACAAACACATGAACAGACAAAACAAGATTGTGACCAGTGGCTCTGGACCTAATAGAGCAAATGCTTATAACAAATTCGTTTCCAACCCACTCTGGCCAGATCTGTTGTTATCTCAGCCCCACGCTGGCCGCCAAATAAGGCTGTCGTGGTTTAGGAGTGGTATTCCCTGATGTAGTGTTTCCACTGAAACCTCTCAGACCACATGCCACTCGCTCAATCCCCCACCCCTGCCCCCTGCAGCAGAATGGAGGGAATTGGAAGCACAAAAGGTAAAGATCATGGGTTGAGATAAGCACAATTTACTGAGAAACAGCAATGAAGTAAGAAAACGAATGGTGACAACTGTGTTAATAACAGAGTGTACAAGACAGGTCACCACACATAACCCAGCCCTGCCCCAACACACACACTACACCCCGACCGAACTGTAGCCGGAACAAAGGGTACTCCTGGCCCCTCTGTGCCCTCCACATGGTGTGAGATGGTAGAGAATAACCCCAACGTCCTAGTGTGCCTTTCCTGGCTGCTGCAAAAGCTAACCCTGCCCTGGCTGGATCCAGGACAATAGGTTCGTTTAGTGCCACTAGTTTTGCGTTGCTATGAAAATGAGGATCTGCACTTAAGACTGTTACATTGTTTCCTCTCTGATCAAGAGTCAAATCCTCAGGTCCAAGCACAGATTTTAAGCAAATGCTTTACAGGCTGTATTTGCATCATGTGGTTACAAGCTTTTTAAAAAATGATGCAGGGTTGCCTGTTACTTTTTTGTAGGCTAGAAGAATATGTGCAAATTCATATGTTTTAGGATAAAAAGGGATTTGCCCTAAAAGGAGAGAGTAGTAGAGTCATTTTTCAATGCCATAGTCAGCTGGCTGTTTTTAAATAGGGATACTATGCAAAATGTTTTGGGTTGGGGAGAAGAGGTAAAAATTCCCATTGTTGGGAGTCCCCAGGCATGTGGCTGCTTTAAGATTCTTCATAGATACGGGAGATCTGTTTTTCTATAGGCAGGAACTGAAGTAACTAAAGCTATGTGGTTGAGTAAATTGACAGATGAAATCTAGACAAAATAACAGAAAATACCACGCAAAGAAAAATGTCTCAGATGCATTCAGTTAAGCTTTAATATTCAAATAGAGACTACTGGATCTTTTTTTTTTTTAGTCTAAGTGTACAAACTGACACCCTAAAATCAACTTTATGCAGAGGGCTTGACAGCAAAATTCATCCTGATGTAATAAGCACAGCTCCATTGAGATCAATGGTGATATTTAAGCTGAGGATAGGACTCAGCTTTCTAATTTGCCAGCAGCATATGAAATGATCATTTATGCTGGCACTCCAGTGAGGTATGAATTAGGAGACAAATATAAAAATGACAAAGCAAAGCTTAGTTCCCACTTGAAAGATGGTTCATTTAGTTTGTTTTGCTTTGCTCTGCAGTTTCATTGCATTCATTTACACACACTGAACCAAACTCAAAACAGGTCAAAGTTACTTGTGTCTGTGGCTCTCTGCAGGTTTCTTGGTTTCCTGTGGAAAGTGTGATTTGTTTTGTCCCAGAAGATCCTTTGCTTGACAGACTTCCATTTGTTTTCTCTATTCTTATAGCCCTCTCTAACTCTGATTCTCCTGTGCCCTTTATTTTCTGTAGATTATGAAATAATTTATCTTTGGTACACCTAAAGTGTATTACCTGCAACTTATATGGCTGAAAATTAGGTAATAGTAGCAGAAGACTGTATGAATAACTAGGTGAAGGCTGAAGGCCAGTCTGATGCTTGTATGATCTTTCACACACTGTGTAAATGTGTATTCAACTTAACCTCTGTATCTTGCAAAATCTGTACTTGAAATTAATTGGTGTTTTCCCTGGATCTGTGTTTCTCTCAGGACAGATATCGGTGGATGGATTTATGCGATACCTGAGTGGAGAAGAGAATGGCGTTGTTCCACCTGAGAAACTGGATTTAAATGAAGATATGTCTCAACCACTGTCACACTATTTCATCAATTCCTCACACAATACCTACCTCACAGGTACAGTGTTGGACAGATCTGATTTCTTATCTTACAAAAATCCTTAGCATAATTTCAGTGGTACCTTAAAATACACTAAAAGCACCAGCAGCAAATGATGGAGTTTAGTCTTCAGGGAAGCAAGAGTGGCACTCGATTGCTGCTCTAGCTGCCACACAGCTACATGAAATATATTTATATTGACAGGTGAGCAGTGGTTGTGTCTTTCAGATAAGGTCTGGTCTGAAGCCCAGAGAAGTACCTGGAAAGTTTGCCTCAACTTAGATAAGATTCCAGATTACAGTCCTTACTTGGGGAGGAGAGGGAACGATGTAATTTTTATGACAACGAAGGATAGCCAAGCAAGTATGCAAAGCAGAATATGGGAAACATCTCCGTAGCTAATAAATTTGCCCCTAAACATTAACTCTGACAGTTTGTTGAGCTCCATGAAATGTGCTTTGATTCAGAGATTAGGGAGATTCCAGTATGGCACATAGCTTTCTGACAGTCTGTACTGCAAGGAGTGGAGATCTCGTCTCTGCCTATATCTAATATCCAAGCTGAATTTTTTAGGTGCTGTCATATTTTTATAAAGTCTGAGCACCCAGAAGCTCCTGTTAATTTGATTTAGATTCTCAACTGTATTGTTTGCACAGCTGAAAAACAAAAGCAGTTTAGGAATCCAACTTTTGGCACTTGCTTTCTACTCTAGGATTCTGTTACCTTGTGGGAAAATAACTGTAAATTTACTATTCTAGTTTATGTAAGAACAAACATTTTTTTGACAAGCAGATGTGCACAGGGAGTTCTCTCCTGTTTGATTTGATGTTTGCTTTGTCTTGTCATGTTTGCTAGTGACTTAGCATTATGTTAAATAAAAGAGTAATGCTACTCTAAGTGCTAAAATTCAGGCTTATGCATAGTGTAGGGTTTTTAATGTTATTAACAGACTTGCCTTGACTGACCAATTCCTTCAGAATGCCAGTGTGCCAAAACGTAAACAAGCCCATGCAGTGGTGGTGCCCAGTTTAAACAGACCTCCAGGGAGTTATTTTCATCTGTTTTATGTTTGTTATAGCCCTTTCTACAGCTCCTTCTACAGCTCCTCATGCTTTCATAAAGTGAATGAACTGTCATTGTTTCCATTAGACACCATTTTTCAGAGGTTTATATCTTGACTGTAAAATGTGTTTTGTGCTAGAACTTGTCATGTAAGTATTTGGTTTGACAGCTATTTTGTTTCTCTGAATTAAAAGAGGTGAAAATCAGTGTGGCCACTTTTAAGTTACGAATCTAATATGCAGAAAGTTATGCTCTTTGGAAGGGTGCAGATGTGTCCAAAGCAAAAGCAATTTTTAAATGATATTTTGCAGGCCTCTTACCTCCAGAATGGACTTTGTTCTGTCTCTGAGGATTAGGACATGCTTAAGCCAAATGCTGCAACTTCATACAGATATTCTGGAAGAAAACAGTAAAGCTGTTGTGCAAATGTGAGAAGCAGAGGCCCACAGGGAGTTTTAAAGACAATGCAGTTTGAAGTTGGTCTGGAGAGATAAAACACTGCTCTCCCCTCTACCAGCATGAAATTATAGCCAGTACCGTACCACAGATTTTATCAGGGCTGGTCAGGACAGAGTCATATCCCAAAGGTCTAGAAGTACAGAAGACAAAGAACAAAGTCATAAGGATGAGAATTCATGATTAGTCCAATCTATTCTAAATTTTTTAACTGCACTACAGGTCCCCTCACAGTTAATTGTTTACCTTGACACTTGCCAAATTTGCTTTGACTTGTGTGTGAAAGTCTGCAAATCATCTCAGATTGCACCTACAGGTTTCTTTTCCTGCATTTCTAAACAAATTCAGAAGCTACATTTGTAAATATGATCTTCATCCTAAATTTAACAAAATATTCCTGACTTAGTAAACTGGGGGGAGTAAATCAGAATAAACTCGGGAAGTAGTGCAAAAGAAGATTGAATCTCTTTCAAATTTGTCTTCAGAGTGTATTTTCACATTTACAGGCACAAAACACATGCCCTTCCCTTTTAGTGGGTTTGTTATGTTCAGTATATATGTGGCAGCTGGCTGACAATGGGATTAATGATTTGATTTTTATCTGTGTATTACAAAAACTGACAGCCTTAGATTTTGCTTTGAGGCTAGACCAGATACAGCAATCACATTCCTTTTTGCTTTCTTCCAACAAGGAAGTAAAATTAATGAAACTAATGGTGGCAGGATATTCTTTTTCCCAAGAAGAGTTGGAAGGATCTGCTCAAGTGTTCATGGCATTGGAAGAGAAGCTTCGGAAGCACCTCTGCCCTAACTGAAGCCATGAAATAACAACTAGTCATGTAATAATTATTAGGACAATAAGAAAACCATTCAGTCTGGCAATACTTTCTGATTACTGTGCTTAATGCCCTACCAATTATCTGTCTCTTTGTTAGTTTTTTTAACCCAGAAAAAGCATGCACAGAGAAACAACATTATAACATAAAAAGAAACATGTGCACACTCTGAATTTATTTTTAATTGCGCTGATCATTTTCCTAGCCTTTAGTAGAAACCCTTGGCAGTACATCAAGTCTTGATTATTTATTTAGGAGTGTTACTGCTTTCTTTTTCTTGGGAAAATATAATTTTTAAGAACAAAGGTAAAAATCCATGAAGAAAGAACTGATTTGTTGTAAACCTAGACTAACTTAAAGAAATGTCATCTTTTGGAATCTTTTTTTACTGTCTCTCATCTTTTTTTCTCACTGGTATCATATTTACATCTTTACTCCTTTGAACCCTTACAGTGCAACCCTACTTCTTTCTGGTGCCTCACCTCAGGTTACTGCTGTGGTCACAGTGGGGAGTGACTTTGCAGCTTTTCTCTCAGCAGCATCCAAAGTGAAAAACAAATGGTTACATATCATACTCAGCCTTCCACATGTTGGCCATGCAGCTTGCTGTTGTATATGTGAAATGACAAATATTAAAATCACAAGCCTTTAACATGTGGTTTTTCTTTGGCTAAAGGGAAAAATTATATCAGCAGTAGGTTGCAGAGCTATTAGCTGAGCACATGTAGCCATTGTGGGACTATCCCATTCACCTTCAGCCTCTGCTTCCCTGCTTACAGTCCAATACATTCAGTTGTTTCTGGAAAAGTGTCTCATGAGGGGCATGTTCTCTTTATCATTGCTGGTGTGACCTCTCCTCCACTACCTTCAAAGCCTCCAAAACATTATCTTCACAGTTTGCAAGCTGACAGCACCGTATGGAAAGGAAGAAAGATGGGTGATGTCTGCTCTGAGCATGAGTTTGTCATACCACCAAGAGCAATTTTTGGTTGGCTGCTGCACTGAGCTCAGGTGATCCTCTGGCAAGACCCAAAGCTCTGTTCTCTTCCAGCCCCACCATGTCCTTCCTGATGGGAGACCAAGATACAGTGAGCAAGCAGCAGGGGAAAGGCTCTTTAAGTAGGTCCCAGCGGGTCCTACTCTCACTGCAGTTGGAGAGACTCAACTGGTCATGCAGTGTGTCTTTCTCAAGTGGGTCCCAGTTGAGGTAGGATGAGGGTTACCCTATGCACCCCATGCTGGATATTTTCTGTCACACAGCCTGACTGTAGTGTAAGAGCAGCCTGGGTGCTGCTAGTGACCAAGCTGCAACGCAGAGTCAGAGGCAAATTCAGAGGCTGCCCAGCCCCAGCCCTCCTGGCACACACAAGTGGTGCACCTTTGCTCAGGTGAGCCTGAATCAAACTGATAGCAAGTATCTTCTGGCTGCTGGCCAGAGCAAGCCTGGCCACACATTCTGCTTGGGTCCAATATAAAGTGATAAAAATAACAGCCATAGTGTGAGAGCCTTATTTTGACTTACATACAAGCAGTAGCAGAATATGTCACAGTGTGGGGTCTAATTCACTTGTCCTGGGCATGGAAAATAGCTTGGAAGGACAATAAATTCAGATAATTGTACTGTGTCTAAAAAACCCTTAGCTGCCAGCACCTTCTGTTGCTGCTGGAGTCAAGAGCCAGGCTCCCAGCAGTATGGGCTCTGAGCTTGTACTGTTTGCTTTTCCAGGACTTGCCTGGAGAGAGGACATTCAGCAACTCATGTTTGTGCGTGGCAAAGGGAATATACAGGCACTTCATGCTGGGAGAAGGTGGTGCCATGGGTGGGTGAGGGGGCAGAGGCAGCCTCTGTTTCTGTAGAGTAGTGAAGAGTCAGGTGATTCTAAATACCTGGATCCGAGCATCACCCAGTTTGGGGAGGACACATATCTTAGAATCGTAGCCACATTTGAAGTCCATGTATCACAGATAACTTTCACTTGGAAAACCAGTGGTGAATGAACCCAACAAGGATGAACTTGCTGATAAATGAGCAGTTGAAAGTTATCCAAGTGCAGAACTGATCTGTATGGGGAAACAAGAGTCATATCCTCAGCTTATATCAACCCACACCAGCTCATTTTGTGTAGTGTCTTGTCAGATATAATTTGCCCAATTATATTTTTTAGAAAAGTGAGGTTTTGTCAAAATCCATTTCTCCTTACCCTATATAGGGTGATGGAAAGCAAATGTTATGTTATTAATATAGATACTGTTTGCATTATAGAAGGGATGCTTTCAATTTCCAGTATTAAAAAATGGATCTGTACTCAGGCTATTAAAAACACCATACTGGAAGTGTTCCCTTTAGTGTCTGTGTGATCACATTTTAGAATGCAAAAGGGCTATTTTGGAATAAATGCAAATAGAGAACAACCCAACAGACATTTATAAATAATATATGCAAAAAAAGCATTTGAGGGAACAATTCCTGATATTCTGTATTTCAGAAGAGCAAGCTGTTGAGACTATTGAAACATGTGCTAGCATTTTACATTCTGACTGTGAGTCTTTCTGAAGATTGTATGGTTTGGAGGTGGAACATCCTCTCATCCTTTGCAGGAATCCTTCCAAAATGTCTGAGTCTTATTAATAAGGTAGTGTGGAGAAGTGTCATATGGCAAGTGATGCATGTCGTAATTTGCTTAAGCACTTCTGAAGGTTAAGGATTTTGTGGTCCAAAGCACTTAGGAATAATAGTGACCAGTAGTCTCTCAGGAAGGAGAGTTTGTTAATCACAGAATAGTTTGTTAAAACAAATTCAAATGCTTTGAGAGAAAAGAGGGACAGCAGGAGAACAGTTTTCTAAGTGAATGTAGTGTTTTAGGCAGCAGAGTTCAGTGGATCCATATAATAAGAGCCAAGTTTTCATAAGCAGATGCTCAGGGATGAGTACATGGAAATGTGTGCTGTTGTACCCTGATGCATGCTCATGCTTATTTGCTTCCTGCAAAGAAAAAGAGCCACTACTTAACCCTGACATTGGAATTACACCAAAAAGGCTTTTCTGTGAGTAAAGGCAATCAGCCATAATCAAAGGGAAACATAGGAAAAAGCTAAGTTCACAAAAAAAGAGACATTGTCACTTTTCTGACTCCATTTGAATTTTCAGAGCCTTGCAGCACTGGCCGATTTCTTCTGTTATTAACAGGTATTTCCCATTGATTCCAGCAGGAGCTGAGAATCTTATGGATTTCAACAGGAGTAATGTTAATAACTTGTAGAGTATGATTGCTCCAGCTCATGTAGCAGACAGGAACAGTAAGCAGGAATTTTCAAACAGAAGAGGCTTTGTTACAGTTTTTAGTAGCAGGTAAAAACTATTTAGTAAAGCAAAGCCCAAAATGTGTAGTTCCCAGTGTAAAGCCTAAACACAGAACCACAGAGACAATAAAATTAGGATTGGAGTAATCTGCATTATATTATATGCCAGTCTAGATGAAGCATTTATATGTCTCCATCAGCAAAGAATCTTGAGTGTAAATGAACTCATCGCCTCCTTAAAAAGCAAGTGAATTCCCTTCAAGAAATCCAGGAAGATCTTCTCAGGAAGTCTGCTAGAAAGCAGGAAGCTGCAGCCATTTTCTTCACATCTAAAAGAAGCACTAAGCCATTCTTCCATTACCATTACCTCTCTGCTGCAAGAAATTTGTATCCATGTAACTGGAATCAAACCTAGTGCGGCATATGAAGACACCCTGTCTGGATATTCTTCCCCGAATACAACTGAACTTCTTTATTGGTTTGGGTTGGGGTTTTCCTTTTTCTGTTTTGTTTTTGTTATAGTTCCTGAGTTTAGGAAGATATGAGTTTTCCTTGTTTAGATATATATTGTTTCATTGTTGGAAACAGTTCAATTAAATTTCTCCCTACATAATGCAGTATCACATCAGGAAATTTAACTGACCAGCTCAGTGCAGTATTTAGGATATTAAATATTGGTTTGAGACCTAATAACGATGCCATTAGTGACTGCAGGAGGTTTGTTTCATCTTGTACTAAAGTGTATCGCATGTTGTGAGAAAATGTGATCTTGGTGTCCTGAGTTGCCTCTGAATTTCACATTGCATGTCAAAGGATAACAAAGTCTTACAAAATGAAGCCCTTTTTTCCCTGTTGTTTCATTTCATGTATTTGATGCTGTCAATAAGAAGGTTTTGAGCTGGTTGCAGTTGGGTTATTTCTCCTCACTCATATCTGTTTGACTGGGGGCAGAATCCAAACCATGACATTGACTCTACCAAAGTTATCTCCATTGTGTTCTTATGCTTTTTGTATGCCTGTGAGTGTTATTCCTCTCAGCCCAGGGTAAAATCTGCTGTTAACTCTAATTATTATTAGTTTATTTGTATTTATTCCTGAGGCTTAAAATGACTTGTCTTTTTTTGTGTTCTTGTGCTGTCACAGCTGGACAGCTGGCTGGGAACTCATCCGTGGAGATGTATCGGCAAGTGCTTCTGTCAGGCTGCCGCTGTGTGGAGCTGGACTGCTGGAAAGGACGGACAGCGGAGGAAGAGCCGGTCATAACACATGGATTCACCATGACAACTGAAATATCCTTCAAGGTACAGCAGGACACCACACTGGCTAGTTGGCTTTAGCTGGGGTGGATTCTTTCCTGCATACCACCTCAGAAATACACAACTAGAACTTTACTGCGAAGGGGGATCAATGCGAGGGCAAAAAGATGTTTTAAGAGGAGATTCCTGAGCATGCGCAGAATCATTGGAAGAGAAGAGTTGCAGTATTTGGACCTCACACAGGAAGAGATTCCTGGTGATCATGGCAGTTGGAGGAAAAGGGATTATATGGTGTGACAGCAGTGCCATCTGGGGACTGGGCTCAGTGCCCTGGTCTCTGCTCATGTGCACCTTCCTGCAGCAAATCTCGCAGGGAGAGAAAGAGTAGACCACAGCCAGGGCTTGAAAGCCCGGGCAGTGCCACCACCACTGGTTTTACACAGTCAGATGGGCCTGTGAAGGCATTGGGAGGAAGGACTGGTTTGGGTAGCAGACAGCAGGGAGAAGAGCAGAGATAAAAGCCACAAGAATTTGAGCAGCAGCACGCAGTGCCTCTATTCAGTCTTTTTCTCTTCTCTGGCTGGTAAGTGGGAGTGGGAGACAAAAGGGCTGAATGAAGGCAGGAAACAGCAGCTATCATGGAAATCTCTGCAATTTGCAAGCCTTTAAATTCCTGTGAGCAGGGAATAGGCTACTCATGCCCGCAGGCACAGGTTCCATCCACAGGATCCAGACGCTCAGCATTACATTCACAACTGAAAAAAATAATAACAGTGTGTGCAATGTTATCCTTATCTCTGATACTTGGGATCGGATCTGAAGTGCTGGAGGGTAAAAAAGAAAAATTAGTATCTTTGGAGATAGTGCCATTCAAACCCTAGATCTGTATTACTAAATTTCATCTTCTATTTCCTTTTTCTGTAACAGAAGGGAGATACTATACCCTTAGCAATAACCTTAAATTGTTATTTTCTTGTTATTCTTAATGATGTTTTTTGATCCAGGGTGTTAGAGGAGCATGATGGAGGTGTTTTCTTCCAATATTGAGATTGGTAGTCAGCACAGTCTATAATGATATATCAGGTTATCATTTTAGAAGCGTGAAGAAACAATTCTTCTTCATCTGAGACACTAACTCACTGTGGACATAAATGTCTAGACTTAGCTGTGTGCAAGAATATGTGGAAAAATGTTCAGTACTGCCTTCGGTTATGTTACAGGGTTTAAGTGTGGCTACAGCTTTGAGGCACGCCTCCCACACTTGAAGCACGAGTTGCTGGTGTGGGTTTTTTGTCTTGTAGTGCCTCCTTTCAGGGAAAAAAACCAATACTGCCACACAGACGAAACACCAAATCTCACTTGCACTTTTTTTCAGTTTGTTTTCTCTAATTCTTCACTGATTGAGTTAATTACAGGAAAACGTAAAACAACCTTCTTGCATGTTTGTTATTAACTTTCTAGTTATGTTTATGTGCAGCCAATTATGTTTGTAAGCATAGGGTTTGATTGCTGGAAGTCCTTTAATTAAGGAAGATAACTCTCAACTGCTTTGGTCATGTGCAGGAATTTAATGCAAAGTTAATCTGATTCTTAAAAGGATCATTAGCAAGAATGAGAATTATCCCAGGTTATTTAGATATTCAACCCTAGGCAGTGTGTTTGCAGGAGAAATATTGGAAGATATTTTAAACCTACTCAGAATATTCCATCTGTCACTTCAGGGCACTTATTTTTTTCTCCACACAGAAAAATGTTGAAACATCTCAGCTGCCAATTTCTTCTCAGCACTCCAAAGTGTGCTGCTTGGCCGGGGAGGAGCAAAATGGCAGTGCAAGAATGTGTCAGAAGTGTGTGACTCTATTTGGAGTGATCACTGGGTCTTGAATGCTGAATCACTTACCAGGTCACACTTTTGGTGTGACCACAGCATACAGGGCCTCTGTTCAGTCTGCCAGTTGTCCCTGCCTCAAATAGACTTCCTGAAGTGCAGAAACAGAAGCAATGTGCATTCCCCATTCTTATGTTGCTGGGAGTTTGGGGGTTTTTTTCATTCATTGGTGTTTCCCTTGCTTCATGACATACAGAACTTCATAAGGCTTTTCTCAGCTGCAGACTGTGGGCTGCTGCCGGGGTGAAATCCTGTAGGGAACAACCCTATTTGTTGTGCCAAAACCAGAAATCTCTGTGTGTGTGCCTTATATACCTTGGAGACCTGTTTCAGGCAAGTCATTCTGTAGCTGGAGTCAAGTATGGAACCTACCAAGTTGTTCCTCTCTGACCATGGAGCATTGGCATTTACCTTTGAATCCAGTACAAGACTGACTCACCAGCATTACTGCTTTTTCTGC